TTGCCTCTTTGGCCTCTTTGTGATGCTGGGCTGCCTCTTTCTTCAACTTGTCCAGGGCTTCTTGGCGTTCCTTAAGAGCTTGATTTGCTTGACGCCCTTTGTCCTGAGCTTCTTTGACAGCGCTCTCAGCCTGAGCAATCATCTTGCCAAACAGCTCCTTGTTAGACCCAGAAGCTGATGCCAAAGCGCTCTGAGCCATGACGATAGCGCTCCTGGTCACAGTGCTCCTTGAAGGTGCTTGAAGGTTTGCTCGTCTTGGGCTTCGACCACGACGAGAAGATTCATCTCGAGCTTCAGACTTGGGTGGCATAGTGTCTTCCAAGGCAAACAGCGCAGTGATCTCTGGTTCAGGTTGATCACCAGATGAGGCTGCAGGTTGTTGCTCTTGAGCCCAAGTGTCAGACTCAACATTAGCAACTTTACGACCTTTGCCTTGATCCCCTTTTCCTTTACCTTTGTCTTGACCTTTCTTACCTTTGCCTTTGCTCTTGGAGTCATTGGTATTCTGTTTAGACCAAGACTGCTGATTCCAAGATTGATTGTTCCAAGACTGATTGTTCCAAGACTTGTTGTATGAATTGTTTGACCAAGACGAAGACTGACTCTTTCCTTTGTCTTTACCTTTGGACTTACCTTTGCCTTTCCCTTTATCATGTTTTCCTTTTCCCTTGCCCTTAGCAAGGGAATCCACATCCATGGGAACGGCTCCTGATTTTGCTTCTTTCCTGGTCTCGACATTCTCGAGATAGGCCAAAACTTCAGCTTTCACCTGGTCATACGTGGTCAATCTCGAAGCCTGCAAGTCCAAATGATCTTGCAACTTGTTGGGACACATCTGCTGCAAGCAACTCCTGCAGATGTCATCTTCAAGTGGTTTCTTTCTCCTGTCTTCGTACTTTCTTTTCAAGTTCTCCCAACTCTCAAGCCCTTCTCGAAGCTTATCAAGACTGCATTGACTTGGATGCAGAACCTTTTTCAACAAGGCTGAATTGGCTTGAGGATTTTGAGGATCATATTTGCACAACAGTCGTCTCATGGCTTCTAGGCCAAAGTGGCTACCACGAGATGTGTTCTTGACAATTTCCAACGCTTCTCCCTCAGTCAATGATATGAGGGCTTGTCTAGCCTGAGCTGAAACTAGCTCGGCGCCTTCATCAAAGTCTACTTCTAGACTTGACTCAGTGATCTCTTTGTCACACTGAGATTCAACTTGTGCCACAATCTTCACAGCATTCTTGTGGCAACTTTCAACCCATGTCTTAAACTTGTACCACCAACTATCCCAAGTGCCTGATGCTCCAGTGAACTTATCAGGTTTGGGTATGCCTTTCAACTCTGATCTGTCTTTGTACTCAACAGACCTCTCAACATTTCTGTTGATCTGTAGCTGCTGGTTCATAGCCTCGGTCATTGCCTGATTCAACTGCGCCTGACCCTGAGTCAATTGGGCCATCATCTGCATAACCATCTGGGACATGTTGGGACCGTTGGTCTGTCCTTGTGCTGGTGCTGGTGGAGTGCCTGGTTGCTGAGGTGGCTGCTGTTGCTGAGCCATCCTTAGTCGTTCTTCAGGTGCTTTGAGACCTGATTCAAGAGAACCCTTGGGTACCTTTGGAGATGCACTCCAAGGTTATGGAAGTATCTTTGGATTTTCCTGATTTTCAGGAGCTTGAGTGTCAACCTTTTCCAGTTGGCACTGGGTAGGCGCGCCAGAGCTGATGCAGCTCGGCGTTGACACCTACACATTCACCGCTGGGTATCAGAACCTCAGCTCCGCTACCATGAACAGAGAATTTGGGCTCTTAAATCTGATGAACACTCCTGAGCACTGATCAGCACCTTTTCACTCAGTCAGCTCGAAGGTAGCTGAAAGCACTAAAATGGCTGCAGCACATATACAAACATATATGCTACATGTGACATAGTCTACACTGTACACATATCTGATCAACAGATTAAAACATATATATATATGTGTGTATTCTCTAGATGTATGTATATCTATATCTATATCTATATATATATATGTGTGTGTATGTATTGTACTGTACATTACATGACATTACATTACACTCACATTGTTTTACAGTACATTACACTTCCTTTCCGTTCCGTTCCTTTACTTTATTTTACTTTACATACATATCATAATCTATGATATGTGTATATACATGTACATGCACGCATGCTTGCATGCGTGAATGACAGTGTCTGGCAGTGAATGACAGTGTGTGACAATGTATGACAGTGTATGACAGTGCATGTATGTATGTATGACGTATTGTACATTACATTACACTTACTTTCCTTTCCTTTCCCTTCCGTTCCTTTCCTTTCCTTTACTTTACAGTACTTTACTTTACTGTATTTTATTTCACATTTCATACATATCATAAACTATGATATGTGTATATACATGTACATGCATGCATGCATTCATGTATGTATGGCAGTGAATGACAGTGTGTGTTAGTGAATGACAGTGGATGTACTTACGTACGTACGTATGTATGTAGTGTGTATGTACATATATATATATATACATACACATACATTCATATATAGATATAGATATAGACATAGACATAGCTACAGATATACTTATACATATGTCGGCAGAAGTCAACTGATCACAACTGATCGGATCGATAACAACAAATCCAAAAGGATACAATGGAGCAAGAATACATGTACTGTACATGTATTCAAATTTTATATCCCTCCGAGCTGGACGCTCGCCGAAAGTTTCATTCGCGGGTTACTAACTCTAGGGTTAGTGCAGGGTTTTTCTAGGAGGTGTGTAAGGCGGTTTCTTTAGGGTTGGTTTAGGTTTTATTTGGGGTTTGCTTTTTTTTGGGGTTGCTATTTCGTGTTGGAGTTCTTCTGGGAATCTAGGGTGTATTTATGTTTGATTTAGGGTTGATTTATATAGTGTTTATTTAGGAATTGCATGAATTTGGTCTGTTCTTTTTGTTTTACCGTTTGTTAAGGTTTTCAGTTTCAGGATCCAAACACTGCAAATTACGGAGCAGATGTTTAGGACACACAGCAGCAGTCCCGCATGGGATTCTGTCGATTTCGGGCAAACGTCAACCCCCAAGCAATAAATATATTTTATAGGAGCTATATATCATGTAATAATATTTAATGTTTAATGCATAATATAATATTTCATATGTTGTAAATTGTATTATGTGTTATGTATTATACCATGTTATATTATACTGTATTACTTTATCGTATCTTATAGTATATTGTATTGTATCACATTTTATCATATGTCATTTTATTTTATATTTCATTATATTTTAAAAAACATATTTATATCATATCAAATTACATTATATTATATCATATTATATTGTAGGAGGCTATACTATATTAAAGAAAACATATTATATCATATTATATCATATTATATCATATTATCATATTATATTATATTATATTATTCTATTCTATATTATATTATATTATATTATATTATATGATACTATACTATATTATTTTATATTATATTATATTATACTATATTATACTATATTGTGATGTATTGTATTGTATTATGTTTTGTTATATTACGGTTTATTACATTACATTACATTATATACATTATATTGTATTGTATTGTGTTAATATTATGTTATATATACATTTTATATTGTATATAATGTATATAATGTATATAGTGTATATAATGTATATAATGTAAATAATGTATATGATGTATATGATGTATATAATGTATATAATGTACATGATGTATTGAATGTATATATTGTATATAATGCATCATGCAGCATGTAGGATATGGTATATGAGTATGGATGCGGTCAGCATGTTTCAAACTCAAGTTTAAAAGGTTACTTTTCAAGTTGAAAAGATTAGTTTCAAAACCCGGGGCCGGCTGGGGGGGTTCGGGGGAAACAAACTAACTCTGAGGAAAAAACAATTGTTTCTGGAGGAAAAACAAACGTTTTAAGAGGGAGTTGAAACGTTAGTTTCTGGCTGCAAAAACCTAAGTTTTGGCCGGGAAAAAGATGGTTTCCAGACGGGAAAACAAACATTCACAGGAGAGGTTGCAGAACATTCGGGAAACCTAAGTTTCAAAACCAGGGTTTCAAGTTGGAGAAATAAAGGTTTCCAAACCGAAGGGGAAGAGTTTGTTCGCTTCCTGCCGAACCCCCTCTGCAACACAAACGTTTGTGGGAAGACAATCACAAGAACAGCAACAGCAACAGCACCCCGACTTGAATCGATTAGACCCGGCGAATTGCATTGGGGCAAAATTTTCACAAAGAATGACCACAAGATACCACAAGTGTGGGGAGTGAGAAAGTTCCACAGCAACTCAGAAGAAGAAGAAGAACAACAACAACAACAACAAAACCAACACCAACACCAAAACCAACACCAACACCAACACCAAAAACAACTCAAAAACCAACACCAACAGCAGCAGCAACAGCAACCACAACAACGGTAACAACAACAACAACAACACCAGCAGCAACAGCAACAGCAACAGCAACAGCAACAGCAACAGCAACAGCAACCACCACCACCACCATCACAACAACAACAACAACGAGGAATAGAAGAAAAAGAAAAAGAAATCAAATAACAATCCCCATATATCCTAAAGAAGGGGGTCAATTTTGTGATAGAGCTACCTCCTAATATACAATGTATATAAGTGTATATGTAAATATATATATATACATATATATGGCCTCATACTGCCATACGTAGTGAATGCGACGAAAAGGCTTGCTCGGATAGACATTGCAGACGTAGTCACTGGTCTTGTTGGTGAACAAGAACTCAGAAACATTATGACAATTGTTTTACCCACATTATACCAATGTTCTAAAAACAATAACCACTATTAACATCTATTAACATCTATTGACATCTATTAACCATTAATAAGCCACTATAATCCACGTTTTTGTTGAGGGATGTTGGTTTTTTAGTGCTGCTCCCTTGATTTGAAGCTCCTCTGTGGCATCCCCCGGGTCGTTCATGGATGACAACCTCAGTCGACACTTGTCATTTTTGAGAAGCAAGACATTGTCATGGAGATAAGGACAAATGCATATATATATATATATGTGTGTGTATATGTATGTATATATATATAGAGAGAGAGAGATTGATAAATAGATAATATAACTTAACTATATATATATACACTGCATAATATATCATTGATTGTTCTTATGTGTATATATGTATAATGAGCTACTGGGCTCAACTAGGCGCTATCAATTCCATCTCCTGGGCTCACAACATCATCTCTGGCACCAGCTTTGGGATGTTCAACGCCACTATCTGTGCAGTTCTCGATTGTCTCCGGGATATCTGTGTCCATTTGAGTTTTTTGGGAATCGGATATTTTATGGGAAGATATTTTACTGAGGCTCTGTTGGTTTTTTTACTGTTAGAGTCTTAGACCTCTTGCATTCAAATTTTGGACAGTCAATGTTCCAAGCAATTTGGTGAAGAAAACCTCCCAAAAAACGGCCAGTGGATGGATTCAACCCCTTGTCAGTTGGGATCATCGTCCCATTTCTGGGGTTGAAAGTCATCCACATGTTTGAAACCACCAAGCCAATTTTTGATCCATCCATGTTCATTACTTATTGGTCAAACCATTAATATCCCTATTGTTAGAATCCCATTAATATCCATTGACATAAACAGGATATATCCCTTATTTAACATACATTAAATGGACATGACATTTCCATGCCTTGTCACCAGGCTGAGCCAAATGAATGGCCTTTCTCACTGCCGCGGTGGCACCTTGAATGTCCTGGAGCTGGAAGTCTGGACAGCTGAAGGGGGAGATCCTCCGGTGAATTGTTATGCTAATAGTTGGATATCACACTAAAAGACTAAAATCACTTGGTTGTCATTCTATGATTCTAGATGATTTTAAAGTTACCAGATGCATCATCAACCATTTCGTTTGTCTGAAAATTGGGTACCCCATTCCATCCTTTGGCTAAAAGCATGTTTTTATCGTTGAAGTTTATCAAACATGCAATTTTGTGGTATACCGTTTTTTTTCCGCAGCGATGTGCAGTTCATGTCGAACTACACGTCAGCAGCAGCTTTCCGTCAGCCGAATGGAGAAACAAGATGAAAAAAGAAAAAAAGAAAAGAACAGGAGAATCTGCGGCTGCAGGATAAGCTACTAACCAGCACCTCTAACACGGGACCCGATGGTTTTGTGTAGGTGGACCCCAAAACCAACGAAACGACGGAGAAGCAATAATCACAGAGGAGAAACATATTTAAGGAGATCGGCCCGGTGATGCACAGCAGGGTTCGTGACCACTTGTCTCGCTTTGGAGAGTAGAACTAGAAAAGGGAGAAAGCAACAACGATGGAGTGATCCTGGTCTCCCGGCACGCCTCTGGCGGCCCCTGCGAGCTTTAGCTGCAAGGTAATGGAGTTGATGTGGCTAAAGGAAAATTTCGTCTTGGCCCCTAAAATTGAAGTGGAGAAAGCTTAATAAAAAAATTGCCAACTGTGATGTGGCATGGTCTGGTTGGAGCTGATGATAGCAGCTTCCTGGTGGCAGTTACCTCCAGGCAAAAATGTCCTTATAACAAGTTTCACTTTATAAACAGGGACTTTCAGTCCCGCGAGAACAGGAAATGGAAATTGCCACGGCCCCTTCAGTACACAATGACGATGAGTGTACATTCCAGAAAAAGAAGACAGTGAAAAGTAGGACTTGATGTGGAAGACCTCCCCCTTTGTCTTCATCTTGGAGTGAAGGGTTTAAATCCAGAAAAATGTGCGTGGAGAAAATGTCGATGAAGTAGAAAATTGGCTGGAATTGCCAGCAGGAGAATAATGCAACCGAAACGAGACACAATGAGACCAAGTAAGGGATGGTTCAATTGGTACTGGTTCCAGCAAATTCGGAGAATGAGATGCAGAAGAGACTGTGCAAGGAGTTGAATACGACAAATCTAGAAAATAGTGAATGGAGAAAATGTCGATGCAGAAAAATGTAGCCAGAACAACAAGCAGGAGCTGGTATATAGCGCAGAAGCGGTCGCCAAAAGGTTGTCCAAGTAGAAGATGGATGCTGCTTGAATTGTACGCGAGGCTGACATGGCAGAGAAAGAATCCTGAATAAATATTCCTGAAAATACAGTGGCTTGCGAACGGAGGCTAGCTAAAGCTTTTGCCCGTGCCTTGGTTTTTTCCGCGTGCATCAAATATGGGAATTCCAAAGATTGCTTTGCCAAGTGTCAGCCTTTTCTTGTGGCTTTGTCCCATATTGTGGGTACCCTCTGGTAATTCAACATAGCTATGGAAAATCACCATTTTTAATGGGAAATTCCACTACAAATGGCAATTTTCAATAGCTATGTTAGTTTAGAAAAGGGTACACCAGAATCCACTGGTGCATCTCCCGCCTTGATGCTCACTCCTACCAGCATCTTGGTGGAGAGAGCTATCCTCACCGGTGGTGTCGAAGAAAGGAAAAACAACCCTTGTTTCATGGGGGCTTCAAGCATCAGAGCTTTTCTCTATAGATGTTTGTTGACTTGTTGGTTTAACCAAAGAATGGGGTTTAACAGTTTAACATTGAGGGCTTCGACCATCGAAAAGAGAGATACTGTATATTCATGGGATATTTAATGGATATTCATGGAGATTGAATATACTGATCTCATATTGGCTTCGTCCGAAGCTGGAGGATACCCCCTCCAATGGTCACCTCAAGGTCCTGCCTGGAAGAAAACATGGTCACCGCGGAGCCCGTGCGGTGAAGTCCCAGCGGGAAAAAAGTCACCGCTGAGCCACAGCTGCGGTGCGAAAAAAAGACCTGGAGAAAGCATGATTTGACACAAGTTTCATATCAGGGGGTCCTGAGAATTTGTCATTCAATTCAGGGAACCATCCAATGTTGAGCAAAAAATCATGCGGAAAAAAAAACATATGTTCAAGACATCCTATCAAGGCTTCATCACAGAGCATCAAAGGTAATCCACGGCCCATGTCCAAAGTCCCAGTCCTGACCCTTGAGTTCCATGACTTATTTTGATCCCAACGGAAAGACATTTCTGAAATGCTTCGTTTATGTTCATTCAGACTGACCCGCAGAATGTGGACTCATACCGATGAGTTTGAGTCATGTCATGTGGCTTGAGAAATATGTATGTATATATATATATGATTATTTATGTGTACAAAGCAAAGTCTTTAAACTTTACCTGATATGGATGAAGCCACGAAGAGAAGCAAAGCACCAGACAGCGCGTATCTTTTTCTGCAGAGCGACCGTCCACTGTTTGCATCTGGCTGCGTGCGTTGAACTGTACATTCGCAATCATCGATCGCCTGGATATTCAGTCATCGATGTGTGCCAATTACACAATTTGCTAAATGTTTCTCGGGGCCAAACTTGCTCGAAAATCGGACCATGTGGGTATGGCTCAAAAATCGTCAAAAGTCAAGATTATGCCCAAATAAGAAAAGGGATCAAAAAGTGACCAAATGTGCATGCATTGTAGCCCAAGTTCGACCCATACCCAGGATACCCATGGCTTCAAACATAACTTGCAGTTGAGCCACCCCGAAAAAGGTGAAAGATGGTGAAAACCGGGATGAAAAAAACCCAGGATGGACACGGCTAAGGTGTTTTTTCATGTTTTTCTAACACGTGAAGCTAAAATCCTACGGTTCCTCAAGTACTCCCTAGTCTTGACTAAACCTTTCCTCAGGTTTCACGCAAAGAACTTCTCTATGTCTACGAAATGTTTCTAGCTCCGAAATCTTTGAGATGCACAACTCAAGCTGCTGCGTCTGACTTTCAAACAAAAACGGATTACCTTACGTTCCAACATCCAGATTTCAGCTCGACCCAGTTGTCCCTCAAGAAACATGTCATGTCTTGCCGCCCCGCAGATTGCAATTCTCTGGTAGCCATAAAGGCTGAGTCCCCCCAAGTGCCAGCCCAATCCGGGCAGCAAGGGGTCAATCTGATGGCCAATAGTCATGCCCTGGTGTTTCTGTCATACCATTGGTTGGGTCTCGAATTTGGACCCACACACGCACATATTTGTTGATTTGTGTAACAAATGGAAGTGCTGTCTTAATTGTGATGGGTTGTGAAAGGGATATTATGTTATGTATAGAAACTGTCTGTTCAAGGGATCTTATCTTTCCCCTAGATAGGTCTTTGCAAAATATGTAGCTGCAAGATCTTTTTGCACACAGAAAGTAATATGATGTCCCACTCATTTGTGAACAGGTAGATAGTTGCAGAGAGAAGTTTATCTGCGTGCTTTCTGTTTGCAAAGACCTGGAGATGAGGACAGATTTGGGTTCAACCTCCCATGTCTTGAAAAAAGAATGCTGGATTCAATCCGGACACGCCAAATACCTGTACTGTATTTAACAAAGATTCTTCTCATCCAAACGCGCCAGTTGTTCCCTGAAAACCAGTATCTTACAAGTTCATGGAATGGCAGTGCATAGTCTCTACATGTCTCTACATGATGATACATGAGATTCACACAGTGCGGACCATCAAATGGTCAAACATCTGCCACAGCCGTCTCAGCGAAGAACTTCCTTAGGGCAGCGGCCGCATCCCCTGGGACAGAGCCACTTTGTATGTGATGATCTTTGACTCGCCTCCATCATGCCCACCTCCCATGTAAGGACCTGTGTACACCCAAACACAATTTTTGCACCTTGGCCTGTGATTTAGGACGAATTGTTCTTGACCCATGCATTCAGCCCGTTCTGGTTCCCTTGCGAAACCCGGCATGACCGAGGAGCTCAGGCATCACCGTCATTGATTCGAACAGGCCGGCCTGATGAAACGGAAAATTGAAGGTGCACCACGCACCACCCCATCAGGATATGAAATTCCAAACCAATTATATAGTTACCATGCTTAAGACCCTCTGTAGGTCCGTTCGAAAATTGGTTGATATTGATAGGAATTCCCATGATTGTAAATGCAGTAAAAATCCCTAATATATCATGGAATGGATCTATAATTGCGAAGAGTAAATTCCCATAAGTCCATACTTGTCAAAGTCTCCATTCCATATAGTCAAGTCCACTTGATACCAGGTGGCAAAACTCGTTTTAATCATGGAATTCATCACCATCTTTGAAGAGATTCATCACAGTTCATCCATAAATGAACCATTTCTGAAAAATATTCTTGTTCGTCAGTTGGGATGATTATTCCATTCCCATTTTTTTGGGGGGGAAAGTCGTAAAATTCCATGGTTCCAAACCACCAACCAGAGTATTAACCATGAATATCCCATTATTAACCACTAATTGACAATCACCATTAATATCCCATTAATATCCCATTATTAATATCCCATTAACCATCAATATCCCATTATTAATCACTATTCACCATTGATTCACCATTGGTTCACCATTGGTTCACCATTGATCCACCACGGTTTCGCGGTTACGGAGCGGCTTTGGATGGCCTCGCTGCGCCGCGTCTTGGTGGGCAACGCAGCGACCAAGGGCAAGGACTTGTCCGTGAGCTCGGAGCTGGAGGAACCTGATAGGGAGTTTGTAAATATTGTGTATATATATATATATATATATATGGTGACATAGTTGTATTCATATTGAGATCTATATTTATTTATATATATATAATATATATATATATATACGTATTTATTCACACATGGATGGAAAACTGAGGGTTTGACTTCTGATCATGGGGCTGTGATAGGGAAACCAAGAAATGGGGATAAAAACCAGTCTGCCAGCCAGGTACATAGTTACGTATACGAATTTACAGTGTACTGTGTGCATGTTCATCTATATGGGTACTACTCACCTATAAGTTCTTTTGCATATCATGGATGTACCTATTTTATGTGGATATTTTGATGTGTCAATACATATGATTTTCCGCATTTGGCATGAACATCCATGACTGCCAGTTGTTGTTTGGCGATCACCAGTCACGTCAGCAATGTATCTGGTATGGCATCGCATAGCCACATCTTCTCTGCGGCTTACATTCACTGTAGGGGTACATCTATAATCTATATATCAAATATAGAATTATGCATATATATATATATGAAAATACAGGATGATAGTTGTTCCCTAAGTCACTTGTGATTCAACTCCTGGGTCGTGGCAGCTTCCAACACCCTTTCCCATCTCCATGTTGTCTCCAGAAACCTTGCCTGTTTTTTGACCTGTCAGTCATATCTGTCCCGTAAAGAACCTGCACTTGTGGCCAGGCGCTAGGCGACATCTACACTTCTACACCTCTTCCAAGGTATAGGTCTGCGTCTCTGTGGAAATGCCTTCGATGGCCCCCAACTTCGGAAAGCGGCGGCGAAGCCCGTCTCCCAGTCACCAAACTTATCGCCAATTTCACCACCCGGCTTGGCTCTAAATCCCTCACTGCATCTCACTGCACCTTGAAGTCCAGGCATCCACAATCCACGCGTTGCGCGCTCTTCACGCGGCCTTCACTTCAGCCAAGGTGGTCCCCAAAAGATCCTGTCCGCGGCAGCACCACTCCCTTGATGATCTCCGGCATGGCACGGTCGAACGACAGCGCTGGCGCGGAAACTTTCCACCAAAAGCACTTGAGCACAGTGAATGGATTGGTAATGATTGGGAAAATCTACGGGAAACCCCTTGTTTTCCCACCAAAAATGGCGTTTCCGACTCTGGGAACGTTGAAATTTGTTCATCTCTGCGAGATTTGATGGTCGTTCTTGGTTAAAAAAACCGGTGGGCATCATCTTAAATAATCCCCTTCCTTTACCCTAATCTGAAAAATGCCTCCCAAAGAAACCCACGGTTTCGCGTTTGATCTACTCATCTATAGGGAACCTGTGATAAGGGAAGGAATGAGCTAGTATCGAAGTATGTAGAAGATTGTAGAAGAATTATATCCACCTTAATTCCAGCTTGGTCCAGTTGCATCATGTTGTATCCGGTTATATCCCATGATTTCGCAATACAGTTGAATCGTATTGTGATACAATGGGATATGAGTGGATACAACATGATGCAAGTGGATATAACCGGAGCGTTGTGGATATAATCTAATACGTCCAATTGCGAGATATATACATATATGTAATCTATGAATATATGAAATTTATATGGATATAATATAATATACTCATATCATCTAAGCAATGCGTGTAGCAAATCATAAAACAACCCGTTGCTGATGAGTTTGCTGGCCTTCTGAGATGCTCGGCAAGAGCTCCGGCTCGCTTTGCAGTGCCGGCCGCAACCACTCATGCGCCAAGGCTTCCTGGTTCCGGTTGCATGGCAGGTCAAAATCACAATCAAACAACTCATCAATTTGATCAAAGTAACTAAGTATGTCATATTCAATGATAATTGTCATCACCATAATAACAAACAATATTCGTATTAGACCAACTTACAATCGTCAAGCTGCTGCAGTAGTAGGGCGGTTGCTCCAATCTTTGTTCAGCATCGCCTGCTGCAACGGAGCTGGGAAGACTTTGCTGCACCATGGAACCAGTTGGTCATGGCTGAGTTTGCGAAATCTTAGATGCCCATACAGTAACTTGTTACTGGGTTGGATTCCCCAATGCTATGGCAAAAATTAGAAAACGAACCTGCCAAACGAAGGTTTATGCCGTCTACAGTAATCGTTCATTAACCTAAATATGTCTAAATTGTAATTTTGAGAAATCCTCCACTTTCAGAAAAACCCACACGGGTCATCTGATCATTTTCGAGATGGTTCCGCGAATGATTGCAAACTATACTCACCTAGCCTGACCAAGAAAGACTTAAGCTCCCTTTGTTTCAGAATAAAATCATATTTTTCCCAAGTTTTGAACATGAAAACATGGCTTGGGGATGGGTTTCCCAGCCTCCAGGAAGTCTTTGGCACATTGGCTGGTGTTCGTCCAGGCAGGGGAGTCGAAGCATAAGTCGTTCTCACCTGGTGCAGTTGGATTTTTACCACCATCAGTTGGGTATGTACGGCGTAAGCTATTGTTATAACCACCATAAGTTTGGACATCTATATACATATACATATATACATACATACATATATATATATATATACATATTTACATATCTAATTATATAAGTATAACGGCATGTACATGTATACATATTTACATATCTAATTATATAGGTATATTTGCATATACATGTATGCATATTTACATATCTAATTATATAGATATATTTGCTTATACATGTATAGTATAGATATTTACATGTATACACATATATGCATATATAAAAAAATATACATACAAAAACAGATACATATATCAACATATACATATATACATATTTACATATACATGTATACATATATACATAGAAACATATATACATATATACATATAAACATATAAACATATATACATATACACAAATATACATATATACATATTTACATATTTTTATATATACATATACATAAATACATATTTACATATATACATATATACATGTATGCATGTTTAAATGTATACATAAATACATATATATACATATATACATATATACATATATACATATATACATGCATACATATATACATGTATACATTTTTACATGTTAAATAAATACATATATACATAAATACATATTTTTCATATATACATATATACATATATATATACATATATACATATATATACATATATACATATATACATATATACATATATACATATGTTTCATATGTACATATATACATATTTTTCATATATACATATTTACGTATATACATATGTACATATATACATAGATACATATTTACATATATACATATATACATATATGTTCGTCGACAGAATTATGGAAATGGGAGAAAGGTTCGGAAAGTGCAGGGTATTAACTGCACCAGGTCGGTGCCCTATATTATGGTTGAAAGGCACACACCCAATTTCCATATTCTTGCAGTAACGGTGCATGGGGAAATTTCCACGATGCAAACACATCATCGTATTTTTATGTTTTACTCCTAATTCTGAAGAGATATAAAATTGATCTCATTACGTCCTCCGAACATTCGCGCTGGGGCATGGATGTCCTGCAGTTAAATTTCCACAATTGTGTTTTCCATGTGAGGGTGCTGTTTGGAGTTGGACCATGTCCTAATTTTTTTTACTTGAAAGGGTGACAACATGGCTATTGATGACAACCCTTTTGACCCACTGACCATTTCCAGACTTCTGCCGAGGACCAAATTAGCCAACAAAATGAAGAATGTTCACTAATCGAACCTACAAGAAGGTAATGTGGCTTTGGTCCCAAAATCATGCAAATACATTGTAAATCACATGGTTTGGAGGAGCAGCCAAGGGGGAAGGAGCTGTAAAGCTGTGCTGTCCAGCACAACCCCTTTACCCCAAACAGGCTCTTTTTGGTTGAGGATGACTTGGACCTGCCCAAACAAGTGCTCCCCTGCTTTTTGCAGGGCTGTTGCCAAGGCCCTTGCTGTCACTGTTTTCCTCTCGAGGGCAAAAGCACCTTGGTGGCTGGTTAGGCTTACTTTCCTACCCAGCTTGTTGAAAGCCTCCTGCAAAAGCTCCTTTCCCGCAGCCAAGCTTTGGCCATAGAAGGGGAGTTCAGCCAAAGTGTTCACTGGATGGTACCAGATAGACAAAGTGCTGAGGGAAGACACGTCGCCCAAGGTGGAAGCCTCCAGTAGGCAAAGTCAAGGTCCACTGGCCCTTCGTTTGGGGGTGGCAAAAACTCAAGTTGCTCTGGTTTGGGTCCTCCACCTGCTCCCTTCTACCTCCCTCTCCACCTGCTCCGATCCGAAGAAGTGAATCTGAGTGCGGTCCCAAAACAAGGATTTGTGAGATGAAGCTGTTTCACCTTTTTGGTCCCAAAATACAGGCACAAATAAAATTATGGAAATAAAAAAGGTTACAGTATATAAATGCTCGCATTTACCCAAAAAGTTTCAAAATGTTATCATGGGTTTGGTCCCTAAATCATGCCAACACAATCTAAATCAGGTGGTTTGTAGGAGCAGGATCCCAAAAGTGAATCTGAGTTTGGTCTCAAAATAGGGATTTGTGAGATGAAACTGATTAACCTTTTTGGTCCCAAAATACAGGCACAAATGATATTATGGAAATACACAAGGTTACAGTAAATGTTCACATTGGCCCAAAGAGGCTCAAAAGGTTAAAGTGGGTCTGGTCCCAGAGTCATGCAAATACATTGTGAATTACGGGGTTTGGACGGGCAGGCAGGATCCCAAAAGTGAATCTGAGTTTGGTCTCGAAATAAGGATTTGTGAGATGAACCTGTTGAAGCGTTTGGTCCCAAAATACGTGTACAAAAAAAATACGGAAACGCAATGAAATTAACAAGTACAACTCCGTGTCCCAAACCCATACCTATAGGCACCGGGATACAATAGCCACTACATTCCCACGAATTGAATGTGATGGAAAAATATACATATCACATCTCTATATCTAATGAATCTAATGTTTGCGACCACCGTATCACTGAAAGCGTAGGTGATACATACTAGCAACCACCACTCAGTTCCATCACTGATAGCGTTGCTGCACAGGTGCCACTGCGTGTGAGCAGCACGCCTGCAAAGGTCGTCCAACATCGCAATGCCGGGACGCCGCACGATAGTTGCCCGGCAAAAGTTTCCAACAGAGAATGGAAGATGCAACACATCCGAGAAACCAAAGTCTGGCTGTGTCCGACAACAAGGCATATTATACATGCCAAATGTACAGCATTTGAATATGTTTTATCGGGTAGGACGCTGATGATCAACCATTCAAATTTAGGAACGCCCAAATTTATTTTTGGAGTTTATGCAGTTTATGGGCGATTTCACCATTGCTTGCCGCAAGCAGGCGTAGCAAGTACAGCATTATGCGGCATAACCTTAATAGTTATATAAATAGAATCGCTTGCTATGTCGCTTGCCACATGACATCATGTCGCATACTACATCTTGATGCAAAACAATATCCTCAGTTGCATCCAACACTCGGTCAGCAATGTGGCTCACAGCCCCACGGGGAGGCACAGGAACCGCTAATCTGCAAATGGTCAGGCGGTTCCCAGCAGACAGGCGGTTCCCAGGGATCTAAGCACTGGACAAGACCAGCCCAAATTGAGTCCAAACAAAGCCAGGGCGAAACAACATCAGTCATGTCATCAAGGCGATGCACTATCATCCTCAAACGAACGATTGACACCATCCACAATGGTGAACAAATGGTAATTCGATCATGAATCATAAAGGATTAAAGAAAAAACGTCTATCCTCCCAAATTGTGGCCATTTTTAAAATGATTTTCCACCCTGTCCTGTGCCGGACAAGCCAATGGATTTCACGCAATCCAAGTCTCCTGCAATGCATGGATCTGTCCTTGGCAACAAAGCTGGGTCAACTGTGGATGGTATGCTCCTACTAGAGAATATAATATATATATATGTAAAATATAGATTGACAGTATGTATATATATATATGCGTAATATATATATAGAGCCAAAGTTTTGGGATATTTCTGAATTGCAAGGACAAACATAAAGAGAAACCACTGATCAAATCCAGAATTTTCAGCGAAACTTCAAAACAACTCCTATTGATGGTGGCACAGTTGTCTCTAAAAATGTCGCTTCGCGCGGCAGGCGCAAGTGACTACACTGCACTCCACAACACACTCCACAACACTGCAACTACAACTACACAAATACACTCCACTACACTCCACTACACTGCACTACACTAAATTACACTACACTACACTACATTACACTACACTACACTGCACTACACTACACTACACTACATTACACCACACTACACTACCTTCCACTACACTTCGCTACATTACATAGCACTACAGTATATAGCTAATTTTTTGGGATGTTTCTGAATTGCAAGGACAAACATAAAGAGAAACCACTGATCAAATCCAGAATTTTCAGCGAAACTTCAGGCAACTCCTATTGATGGTAGCACAGTTGTCTCTAAAAATGTGTATTGGTTAAAATTAGGTACCAAACATCGGGATGCTCCCCAAAATTCACAAACATCAGTGGTTGGCAGATTCCGGCCAAATTGCCTTGCGAATTCATTCGGTTTCGTCTCAAAACCCAAGGTTGAGACCAAGTGTTGAGACCCCAATAACCCAAGGAGCTTGTGCAATTCCGCAGCCAGCAAGCCACCAATTCTGGCCAGTTGAGGGGCCAGGTCTCCCGGTAGATCTGGGTTACCTTTGGCCAAGTCAGAAGGGATACAAGTTTTTCACGGGTTTTCATGGATTTTCTAGGGGTTGTTTTTCACCCAGCTGGGTACCCTAAATACCCTTTTGATCCATTTGGCTGTCAAGAAAAAGCTCGGATTCGCCTGGAACCGGAAAGGTCACGCAGCCAGCTATGAGTGATGTGCAACAAGTGGTGATAGCCACCTGACAGGTGGACGAGGTCTTCACGGCTAAAACGCTGGCATTTTGGGAAGGGAACAATGGATGATTCTGCAGCAAATGTGCAACACTTTGGATTTGATCAAAATTCAAGAAGCATGTAGCAAGGAATTAAAATCGGCTCATGATAATGATGAGAAATCCATGGAAACCCCATGTTTTGTTCATGGAAATATGGAGAATGGCTCAACTCATTGGGGTGTCATTTTTGAGTGCTGACAATCCCGGCTGTTCCGAATATGTCAGCTCACATCTATACATATCTGAGCATTCCGCACCTCACCAACGTCTCCACTTCCATTGCTGAGGATTTTCCTCAACGCGGCCACATCTAAACCCATTCTTTAGGAGATATTATTGCGAACAACAGATGTTACGCAACCACTATCCGAAAAATGTCCGCTCCACTGCGCCTACACCTTATCCATGATTGCCTATAACTACCAAACAAAAGGCTCTCGAAAACCAATCCTGCCTTCCAGCGGCTCCAATTGGATCCTTGCGGCTCTTCCTCAACGCAGCATGATTCATCGTGCCCGCCACAGCACTCATTTTGGTATGTTTCTCAAACTCCAGTCCAGCCTGCCAGCTATTCCCCTTCGATCCTTGCGGCTTTTCCTGACAGCAGCACAATCCCACATCAATTTTTGGAAAGCTCTTTGCACTTACTCACTGTGCCTGCCACAGCATCTGTGTTGTCGCTCTCGCCAGTTGGGTCTCGGAACAAAAATAAAGCCAACAAGGCATCACCACCACGGGCGACAACATTTGGATCCAATGTCACTAAGAGAAATGCCCGCGTCTTACCCCTGCAACACTCGTATGATCTCACATGAACCGATCTTCATCTCGAACCTTGTCAAATGCCAACAGCTAACGACATCTCAGTCCCTAGCGATTGCCGTTTGCATGTGTCCCAGCTTCTCATCCTTGCCATTCACTCTCCGACAACAACCGCATTGCACAAACACACACACACACAGACACTGAGGCGCAAGCAGATTTGCAGCTCTTGCATCCACTCTGGAACCAGTAAATGCCATCGGCACAGTCTGGCACGGAAAGTGAATACAATGGCCATAGCAATATTTGACAGGTAGTTACCATATTTCTTTTAGCTGCAATGGTGCCTCGGCATCGGCGTCAATACCTTCCATTCTCTTCGTTCCATCCGGATAGCCAATATGGCGCATCCTGTCTCAAACACACTCTATACAAACCAGCTGCTGCCAATGATAGGACGGATAATGGTGACACTGACAGCCAACCTGGCCTTCTTTCCACTCTGAGATCCCGATGCCTCCTGCAGTTCATGAGCACTTCAACTCAACTGTTGGCAACAACAACTGCCCTACACGTCACACAGATTTGAGTTCTCACTCTCCTTTCGACCAGACTTCGCCAGCTCATGCGCTCCATCCTGGGTCAAGACGACAGACAACAACAACGAACAACAACGCACCAAACATTCTTGCCTGTAAAAACTTCTTCAAGTTTCTACATTCGTCAGATGGTTCCTGGCATGCACAGTTCTTCCATGTAGCAGTTGGCCTTCTTGCCACAACTTGCCCCAGCCCAAAGCACGGTGTCACCTTGCCTCCTCCTTTCCATCGGGCTCCACAGCACCGGTTGCCTCCTCCGCCAGATACTCAACCACAACAACTGCAACGGCTGCTTCCAAAACAATGGTGCAATAACACATTCAAAACACCATCTTCTCAAAGCAGTCCTTCTGGGTCTCATCCGGCTTCTCACCAGCAGCTTGGGTCTCATCCGGCTTCTCACCAGTAGCTTCATCCTACGCCACATGCCAACAACAAAGACCGCAACAGCTTCAAAAACAAGATAACGGCGCTGATAAGAGGCTGCTTAGCAATCGACCCAGCTGCTCTGATGCAACTTGCCTTCTTGCCACAGCCGACGCAATGCTGCTGGTGATACACCATCCCGGCACATCCTGAAGAACCACTACCACATGTAAAACATTGCCAGATACAGCCCACATCAACCCACACAGATCTGCGCCTTCGTTGTCACATCGGCGATACCAATCGCCATTCACATCCGTGAACCACCCCGGCCACTCCTAACCACACAATCAACCGCCAGAAAGCACGTGCATCCGAACAGACATCCCAGCAGTCCTCCGCCTTTTCATTGGAGTCTGCAGCGCCATCTGGCTCCTCCGCCAAATGCTCTACCACAACAACTGCAACGGCTGCATCTGGGTAACACACTCGACTCAAAACATCATCGCCCTCTAAGCAGTCCTTCTGGCTTTCGTAACAATCGTATCGATGATATTTGTCCTGAAAAACCCGTGCCAACAGCAGTACATTTTTTTACTGTCGCTCCCTGCCAACCAAGCTATGCATGTCCCATCGCCCAGCGTCTGCGTACAGTTTTTTCAGGCTAATCGCATTGATGGAATTTGTCCTGAAAACCCGTGCCAACAGCTCTACTTCTCAGTACATCGCGTCCTCCCAACAGAGCTCTCCCCAAGCTATTTCCCACGGTTTCCCTTCCGTCCACCCTGTCGTCATTCCCGTATCGCTCCTTCCCACCGGAGCTCTCCCCAAGCTATTTCCCACGGTTTCCCTCGCTCCTTCCCACCGGAGCTCTCCTCAAGCTATTTCACATGGTTTCCCTTCCGTCCACCCTGTCGTCATTCCAGTATCGCTCCTTCCCACCGGAGCTCTCCCCAAGCTATTTCACACGGTTTCCCTTCCGTCCACCCTGTCGTCACTCCCGTATCGCTCCTTCCCACCGGAGCTCTCCACAAGCTATTTCCCTTCCGTCCACCCTGTCATCACTCCCGTATCGCTCCTTTCCACTGGAGCTCTCCCCAAGCAAGCTATTTCACACGGTTTCCCTTCCGTCCACCCTCTTGTCGCCTCCGTATCGCTCCTTCCCACCGGAGCTCTCCCCAAGCTATTTCACACGGTTTCCCTTCTGTCCACCCTCTTGCTTCCGTATCGCTCCTTCCCACCGGAGCTCTCCCCAAGCTATTTCACACGGTTTCCCTTCCGTCCACCCTGTCGTCACTCCCGTATCGCTCCTTCCCACCGGAGCTCTCCCCAAGCTATTTCACACGCTTTCCCTTCTGCCCAACTTGTCGTCACTCCCGTATCGCTCCTTCCCACCGGAGCTCTCCTCAATCTATTTCCCACGGTTTCCCTTCCGTCCACCCTGCCATCACTCCCGCATCGCTCCTTCCCACCGGAGCTCTCCCCAAGCTATTTCAAACGGTTTCCCGTCCGTCCACCCTGTCGTCATTCCAGTATCGCTCCTTTCCACCGGAGCTCTCCCCAAGCTATTTCACACGGTTTCCCTTCCGTCCACCCTCTTGTCGCTTCCGTATCGCTCCTTCCCACCGGAGCTCTCCCCCAAGCTATTTCACACGGTTTCCCTTCCGTCCACCTTGTCGTCTCCCGTATCGCTCCTTCCCACCGGAGCTCTCCCCAAGCTATTTCCCACGGTTTCCTTTCCGTCCACCCTGTCGTCATTCCGGTATCGCTCCTTCCCATGGAACTCTCCCCAAGTTTCCCTTCCGTCCACCCTGTCATCACTCCCGTATCGCTCCTTCCCACCGGAGCCCTCCACAAGCTATTTCACATGGTTTCCCTTCCGTCCACCCTGTCGTCATTCCAGTATCGCTCCTTCCCACCGGAGCTCTCCCCAAGCTATTTCACACGGTTTCCCTTCCGTCCAACTTGTCGTCATTCCAGTATTGCTCCTTCCCACCGGAGCTCTCCCCAAGCTATTTCACACGGTTTCCCTTCCGTCCACCCTCTTGTCGCTTCCGTATCGCTCCCCTTCAGACCGGAGCTCTCCTCAATCTATTTCACACGGTTTCCCTTCCGTCCACCCTGTCGTCACTACCATATCGCTCCTTCCCACCGGAGCTTTCCACAAGCTATTTCACACGGTTTCCCTTCCGTCCACCCTGTCGTCATTCCAGTATCGCTCCTTCCCACCGGAGCTCTCCCCAAGCTATTTCACACGGTTTCCCTTCCGTCCACACTATCGTCACTCCCGTATCGCTCCTTCCCACCGGAGCTCTCCCCAAGCTATTTCCCACGGTTTCCTTTCCGTCCACCCAATCGTTGCTTCCATCCGTTCCCTCCCAGCGTAGCTCTCCCCATGCTATTTCCCACGGTTTCCTCTCCCTCCACCCAATAGTTGCTTCCATCCGTTCCCTCCCAACGGAGCTCTCCCCAAGCTATTTCCCACGGTTTCCCCTCCGTCCACCCTTTCGTCACTTCCGTATCGCCCCCTCGCGACAAAGTGCCTAAACGAGAACCCAAGCATTGGAGATGCTTTTGGGAAAAAGAGTGTGCTAAATGTTTAGATTTCGCCAAAAAACGTGAAAGGTTTAATGTGGGTTTGGTCACAAAGTCATGCAAATACACTGTAAATGACGTGGTTTGGAGGAGCAGGATCCCCAGAAGTGAATCTGAGTTCAGTCCCAAAACAGTGATTTGTCAGATGAACCTGTGTAATCTTTTTTTGTGCCCGAATGCAGGGACCAATTAAATTATGGAAATACAACAAAGGTCATGCTATATAAATGTTCACAGTTGTCCAAAAAGCTCCAAAAGGTTAACGTGGGTTTGGTCCCAAGTCATGCAAATACATTGTAAACCAGGTGGTTTGGAGGATCTGGATCCGAAAAGTGATATGTCCAAAATTAAATTTGCAGCGTGAATTAGAGGCTTTTGTGGACATTTGTCTTATCCTTGTTTTTTTTTAAAATGATTTTGGACCTTGACCGGTCTTGATCGATCTCATAGGTCAAAAGCGATCTCGTCAGAACGCTCCGAACCTTTTTGGCTAACTGCACCAGACGAACCTTGTTCATTTCCATAATTCTGTCGGTGACTGTATACATATATACCTTTATACATATTTACATATATACATCTATATGTATATACATGTATACATATACATATATACATATATACGCATCTATAGAGAAATACATATAGATATATATATATATTCATATATACATATATACATGTATACATATATACGTATATGTATATATATACATATACTTATATACATATGTACATATATACATATGTACATATATACATATATACATATATACATATATGAATATATACATATATACATATATACATATATACATATATACATATATACATATATACATATATACATATATACCTATTTTATTATTTCATATCATATTATATATAATATGATATCATACTACATTATATAAAATCATAGATTGAAATGTTTGATATTACATTACCTTACATAACATTATATTACTATATTACATTTTATTATAGAGTATATTATATATGATATATTGAATATTATAAATGGTATATTGAATATTATACATGATATATTATCTATCAGAAATTATATATTATATATTGTATATGATATATTATATATTATATGTTATAGATTATCTTACATATACTATATGTGCTATAATACATATTATATATATATATCATATATTTTATATTTTATATTAAATACTATATATTGTATATTATATATATTAAACATTGTCGTTTATTAAATATTGTATGTTATAAGTTTTATATTTCAAATTATTTCTGATATATCACTTCTGATATGCACCTAATATGAAATATAATACATATTATATTATATGTATATGTATTATATATTATATATTATCTATTATATGTTATGTATTACATGTTTAAAATTTATATATTATACTATATATATTATATATTATATATGATACATTATATATATATATTGTATATTGTATATTAAATATTATATATTATATATTGTATATTTTACATTATATATTATACATTATACATTATATATATTGTATATTGTATGTTGTATATATTGTATATTGTATATATTGTATATTGTATATTATATTTTATATTCTATATTCTATATTATATATTATATATTATATATTTTATATTATAATATATATTATATATTACATATTTTATATTTTGATCTTATATTATACATTACGTATTATATATATATTCTAGATATTATATATATTATAGGTATTATATATTATATTAAATATTAAATATTAAATATTAAATATAATATATTATATATTATATATTATATATCATCTATTGTCTATTATATATTAGATATTATATATCATATATTGTATATTATATATGATATTATATATCATATATTATATATTATATATCATATATCATATATTATATATTATATATTGTATACATATGTATGTGTATATATAGTTTATATCATATATTATATACATACAATATTTACATATATACATATTATACATGAATATTAATATATACTTTTATATAATATACATATATATTACATACATACATATATATATATATATATTATATCTGTGTATTGCATACATATATATATATATACATTGTCTACATATACATATATATATATGAAATCATGTCATATCAAATCATACTATATTATCATATCATATTAAATCCCTTTTTAGACTTTGAAAAAGCGAATGGCCCAACCATCGTGGAGCTTGCCATATTTTTCAGTGTTTTTGCTGGGGTGGGGTGGGGTGAGGGGGGGGGGGGGGGGGGGGGTGGGGGGGTGGGCTATTGACGTTCATGTTCACATGCACACTATCTTAATGCTAGGTTAACAAGATACTCTCTCGCACTTGCTAACTATCTTCATGCTACGTTAACAAGATCTTCTCTTGCATGTGCTAACATGGAGAAGATCCAAAAGGGATCTTACTTCGTGACTGACGCATGAGGAAGTGAATCATGCTGCTGGAGAATTTGTTCGCTTGAAGCGAAAAGGACCAAAGCCAGCTTTGAGTGTGCACACAGGTGGTATCGATTGCACGTGGAAGAAAATCAAAGATAAGATTCCACCGGGCATTCATTCATAACAGAAAGAAAGGCAAGATCAACAAAGCACAGCAGGGACTGCGTGCTGCGAGCAACTGCCAAGCAACTGAAAAAGCAAGAAGATGTGAGGGTAAAAAGTGAAGTTGACCAACAAAGGGTTCCAAAACTGTGGTAAAACGTATTTGTTTAAAAAAACATGCAGATTTGGGATATCTTTGTGAGCCTCAAACACAATTTTCGCTGACAGGCGCAAGGGATTTTGACTTTCAATGTTGAAAATACCGTCCTGTTAAACCCCCGCACGGAAGTTATTGGAAACCAACGATATATAGAGGCTTAACCATGGGGTTCAAAAAATGTTTGACTATAATTCGACAGGAATGCCGAGATGGACATGGCTTCCTTGCCGTGATCCCCCATTTCACATCCCCAAACATCACCATAGAAATCACCTCTTCTCATTGGAGTTTTCTAAGCGACTCGGATAGCATGGAGATGTCAATGGGTATGGTCAGCCAATGGTCCCATTTCACAGGAATCCACACATCATTTCTGGTGACCATCCCCCAAGGACTTGGTTCACCAACCATGAAACCATGGGTGGATGATCCAAGGATCTAACTACAGTACTAGCTGAATTCATAGCTGTCCCTTTCGTTAAAAAAGGAGGGACCTCCCCACAGTCAGTTATATAATGGGGGTACCTCCAGTTCTCCATTTATTCTAACGTGATGTTCCAAGGAAATTAAAACCATCCATCCAGCGATCAAGGGGTACCACCATTTTAATGGAAACCCCCATGTGACAATAATTATAAACTAACTAGAGTATCAAATAACATTATGATTATATAACTATCATTATAATATATATATATATGTATATATAACTATTATTATACTAAATATACTAATAATCCCCATGAAACCCGGGGTAACTTTGCCAGGCGACGCACGGCCAACTTTGGGGACTTGCTCTCCATGAGTTTGAATGGCACCTCCAGACCTCGAAAAAAAAATGCTGGGAGTTTGATCGAAAAATGCTGGGATTTTCGACCCAAGCTATGGCTCTTGAACGAAAGGGTCGACTCTGGTAATTTCTGGATTAAAAGTTAGATTTGACTGGACTAGAAATTGGATTGTCCATAGTTGTCTTTTGGGTGCTTAATTACGGCAATTTGCTTTATAACTGGATTAGCGGATGGGTTTATGGGTAGATGTATCAAACTAGCTACAGTAATGGGGATTGTAAACCAACTGAAGGAGACAGTCATGGTATGGGAAAATCATAGAACTATTGTTGGTGGATTTTCCAGCAAACTATTTTTAATTACCAGGGGGTATCCATCATTCTGTCGCATTTACTGTAGGCTTTAGGTCTCCGTCCTCTATTTTCTGGGGTTGACAATAATTTTGCACAAGTCCCATGTTAGTTCATGGTGAAGTGTTTCAACATGTTTTGGACCAATTCTTCAGGGGAATTTAACACTTTGAAGATATCTCGAGTTAATTTGAAATTCTCAAACATGATCTTATGGTCGTGTTTTTGATGGTTGGTCCTGAATAGTAGTTGACCATGGGGTTATTACCGATTCCACAAACAACGTGTTACCGAGGGCCTTCAAGCCATCAGCTTCCAAGTTGCTCGTGACGATGTAAGACACGACCCCCAAACTCCACACCTCAATGGCCCAGCATCTTGATCTAAAGAGTCCGCCGGCTGAAAATGGCCGGTGAATTTGTCCGAAAAATGGCTTCCGGTAAAATCCCAATGGAAAATCCGATGTTTATATAATCATTGCTTCAAATTGTTTATGAAATGAAGATGTTAAAAATTTTGGGGTATATAGGTACCCTTGTAGCCTAAACCCTTTTTGAAAAATTCAAAGGGTTGAAAATCCAACCTCAAGTTTCCCCAAATCTTCAACAAAACCTCGGGTTCCTTCCCACATCGTGTTGATTCTCCCGAAAACCCTCAGATTTTGGACCAAACATGAGAACAACACGTTTTTTTGCAAAAAAAACAGGTCGGTGAGTTCGAAAGTCGTATTCAATCGGTATTCGACCCCTATTCACCCCGTATTCAGCCTCTATGAATGTATCAAGCCACATGTTCTGCACCCTGGATTTCCATGACCCAAGCAGCATCGGAGGGAGGACCTGTGTTCCCGTCCCAGACTTCCTGGGCGATGCAAGGAGCCGGAACCATGTTGAACCAACCATGCCAGGAATCACATATATATATATATGTATATCATACTGTATGTGTATATATATATATATCATACTGTGTATATATATATATATGGTCCCGTCCTCCGTCTCTCCACCCCCCCCCCGGGGTTGGGTCCCCAGGTAGCAGCCCCAATTCCCTTCTATTTGCAAGCTATTGGCAGCATTTCTGAGGTCCAGCTGCGTATTTGCTAGGTCTTTGCAGCATCTGACTACCAGCCTCGCATTTACTAGATACATGCTACCTTTTAGGCGGCCTACGTAGCACACATACTCCTTCAAAGTACCTACGTGCTACCTATAGTCATATATACATGTGCTATGTATCTACTGTATCTACTTCCTATTTACTACCTGTGTACTCTGACAACACTACCTGTGTTTAACATATACCGTACCTACCATACATGTCAATGATGCCGAGCATACCATACCTATCATATCTTTCATACATACCATACATACCATACATATGAAATGTAATTACCACACCTACGTACACCTACCATACATACAATAGCAAACATACATGCCATACATACCACACCTACCTTACATAGGAAATATTCCATACCCATCATAGTAACCATACATACCATACAGACCATACATACTGTCATATCAAACATACCATACCCAACAGACTTACATACCATACCTACCATCCATACAATACCAACCACTCATGCCATACATACCATACCTACCATACATACCAAACATACCATACTTTCCAAACATGCCATACCAGACCGACCATACACACCATACATACCCAACATACCATACCACACCCCCACCACACCACAGGGGGGGGAGGGGGACAGTGCCACACCCCCACCACACCACAGGGGGGGGGAGGGGGAAGGGGGCCAGTATATGGACCCCATCCCATGGGGGTGGGGGGGAGGGGGGGGGTGGCAGGGCCTGGTGCATATATACTCAATCTTGGGATCATCATGCCAGGTAATTAATAGATAATCGTACAATATTTTACAAAGATTACAAAGGGGAAAAGTAAAACACCAACCAGGTTTGGAATTGTTTGGAATTGTGTGGAATTGCCTACAAGTCTAGCAACAAACGTTTGAAAGTTCGAGTTTAGAAGGCCCTGGTTCGTGTGTCCTTCAGTTTGCGAAACAGCCAAAGGAAACAGCCGAATGATGGGTTAGCAATCCATCTGTCCAAAGCGAATACGAGGTTCACCATGGCTTTTATGGATGACTCGAAGAGCTCGATTGCGAACAGTGGCAGGACCAGGGATCTGTCGCTGTTATTGATACATCTTTATACTATTATCATCTGTTTTCCAGGTTTAGATGTACTCATTAGTTTCCATATGGGATATGTCGCTTGAATCTGGGGATTGGAATCATTGGAATCTCCAGATCTTGTGACCTACTTCATTTGAATCTAGGGATTCCAATGATTCCAAACCGTCTCCTGTTTTTGTCACACCATTAAAAAAAAAAACATCTCAATCATACCCCAAAACATGTTCCAGTCGGCAAGTCGCCGGCGCCATGTAGCATGCGGTGCCGCAGCGCTTGATGTGTAGTAAATCTTTCGCTGTCCTCCGTGGAGCCAGTCCATTGGGGGCCGATCATTGGATTTGCCCTGTCTGCGTCGATGCCAATGGTAACTCGAAAACCATCGTCCTTTTCAGGATTACCCTCCGGTAAACAAACCTTGGTAATGGATGGTTCCCCCATGGCCATAGAATCTATAGCTGCTGGGCATCTCTTCGGTGACGGGTGACTTCAGAACCCATGCCAGCCCAACGTCAAACAACCTCGAGCCGCAGGTGTTTTAGGCCTTTGGGAATGTAGGGTGAGTTCAAGGAAAAAAATGCTGCGGATGAGGATGAGGGTGAGGATGAGGATGATGATGACCATAAGACCATAAGACCATAAGGATGACCATGACCATGACCACGACCACGACCATCATCGTGTGACGTTGACAGACATGACATCCCTGCGAGAACTAATTGCCCCATCAAACAACTGTCAAACTCGTCAAGTAAAAAAAACTCGGCTGGCCCATGGCCTGCACATATCGCGTGAGCAATGTGATTTCCATTCCAGAGATTACTCGAGAGGTAGGCATAAGTATGCAAAAAATGAACGGCTGTTAACTCGAGCACCAAAAAAAAATAATTCCCCCTTCCAGTATCAATGGTAACCTTGGTGGTTTCAACCTATCCCCAACATCTTGGCTTAGTCCAAAACTATGGGGTCCCCGTGCAGAGTGCGCAGGGGGTGAAAGCTAACAACCGACACGTGGCACTCACACCCCGCTCATTCGCAGCCGGGAGACTTGAGGGCTGGCAGGGGCTGTCCAGGCACGGGAGGCTGAATAAAGCCAAAGTTTTCAGGCTTGATATCTCCTAAGCCAAGTCGTGGCAGCTGATGGTCCTACAGATTTATAGATTTGGGGACCGTTTCAACCGACTCGGTCCATGGTTTTTTGGGCCATACTTTCAAGGGAGGCCATGTTTTCGGGGACCCAATGTTTCTGGTAACAGTGGCTGCCACTAGGTTCTGGGTTTTGAACCAAAAGATCCCGCGGCATTCCTTGGAGGCCAGGTGTCGATGCAAAGCACCCAGACTCCGATGCATGTAGTGCACCGCCTCGATGCTTAAAATCAAATCACTGATTCGTGGTGTCAATGCTTCTGAAACATATGCTCGTCAATGAGGATCATGTGTTTTTATTATGTTGTTTTTGTTCTTCTTCTTATTATTCTTCTTCTTCTTTTTCTTCTTCTTCTTCTTCTTCTTTTTCTTTTTCTTCTTTTTTCTTCTCTTCTTATTATTATTCTTCTTCTTTTTCTTTTTCTTCTTCTTGTTCTTTTTCTTCTCTTCTTATTATGTTTTTTCTTTTCTTCTTTTTCTTCTTCTTCTTGTTATTCTTCTTTTTCTTGTTTTTATTATGTTGTTTTTGTTCTTCTTTGTAGTTTTCTTCTTTTTCTTCTTCCTCTTCTTCTTCTTATTCTTCTTCTTCTTCTTCTTCTTTTTCTTTTTCTTTTTCTTTTTCTTTTTCTTCTTTTTCTTCTTTTTCTTCTTTTTTCTTTCTTTTTTTTAGTCTTCTTGTTGTTCTTCTTTTTCTTCTTCTTTTGCTTCGTCTTCTCCTCCTCCTCCTCCTCCTCCTCCTCCTCCGCCTCCTCCTCCTCCTTATTATTCTTCTTCTTTTTCTTCTTCTTCTTCTTCTCCTTCTTCTTCTTCTTCTTCCTTTTCTTCTTTTTCTGTTTTTTTCTTTTTCTTCTTCTTCTTCTTCTTCTTCTTCGTCTTCTTCTTCTTCTTTTTCTTCTTCTTATTTTTCTTCTTATTCTTCTTGTTCTTGTTATTGTTATTTTTCTTTTTCTTTTTCTTCTTCTTGTTCTTCTTCTTTTTGTTTATTCGTATTACTTTTCTTATTATTTTTTCTTATTATTCTTCTTTTTTTCTTCTTCTTCTTATTCTTCTTGTTATTCTTCATGTGTTTCTTCTTCTTCTGCTTCTTCTTCTTCTTCTTCTTCACTCATCCTCACCCTCCTCATCCTCCTCATCCTCATCCTAGGCGGGATAGACAATAAGAAAAGGGTGTGAAATAGTTTTAGGATTTTTTTTTTGAGCAGGTAAGAAAATGAGTTGAAACCAACTAGAAACAGTATGAAACCGTTTGATGCATGAAACTGCTAAACATGACAAAGATCTGCAAACGCACTGGTCAACACGCCTAGTGTACCAATCCAGAAGGTCGACTGGATTCCCTTCCCCATCAAGACACCCTCCCAACATCAAGAGTTGTTGCTGGTTGAGCGATCTCGGAAATATGCGTTTGCCTTACAATAAGGTACCTAAAAAAAAACTGATTGAGAACATCCGGTTCCCCGTTGAATCACACGTGGCCATTTCGGCTATCCGGAAACATGGTGAACCATCCCAAGCAGGTACCAGCCTTCACCATTTGCCTCAAGCCGTGGATCGTGGACTGGCTGTCAAACCAAAACCAGATCCAGAATGATCCAGATTCCAAAATCATCCAAAATCATCCAAAATCATCCAAAATCATCCAAATCACTGAAACATGTTGATGATGTTACTTTTTTCATCACTGAATCATGTTGTTCGCACAACATTCAGCACCTTGAAAAACATGTATCTCAACGATCAGCTGGCCTCACCAAGCCCACTGCCTTGACTTCTTCCAGCTTGCTGCTGCGCTCGGCAAGGAAATCGAAGAGATCCGGACCCTCCAACAGCTCCATGACCTGTCCAGCATTGATAGGTCTGGTGTTTCCATAGGATCCCCAAGAGATCGCTGGATGGTTCACATGGAAAATCTCATCTATAAATGGATAACTAGAGGTACCCCCATGGATTGGAAACCCCCAGATAGGTCTAGATAGATGTTTCAAAAGATTCAGATAGATACCGTAGACCGTATGTAATACATACAAAAATAGGTCACTGCAAATGAATTTCCCCAGCGATTGGGCTAGGGAGTTCGCAATGATCAGCTCTGGCCTGATAAAGTGCCTCCTTGGGATGTATGAAGGCAGCTAGCAGACCAATCATACCTGTGAAGAAGTTGGGAGCAGTGGAGAAATCGGCCCTTGAGCAGATTTCCAGCTTTGGCCGGATCCTGTACTGTTCAAAAGGCCTATACATTGCTTTCTTCATTTGATGTGTGTAAACTCGATGGTAAAATCTAATATATCATATATCTTTGGCGAAGGCTACCTGAACCTGAACCACGACATGCTTATCCATCTCAAACATTCCTTCAAAGTTGTTTACCTATAGCCTGTTCCATTGCTCTCTCATAGCCTTTCCACAACCCAGCGAATGGTTGGAATTCATTGTGCACCTTAAGCCCTCCCGGCCACACCCGAGTCTGGGGCACCATTCTCAAAGGGTCCACTGCTTGTGAGGCCCAGAAGGAATTCTCGGTGTCGCTCCATTGACACATTCAGGAGGCTGTAGCCAATCTTGGCGATCCAGCACAGGTCAAGATATGTCAAGATCATATGATTCATATGATCAGATTGAGCGAAAAACATTTTCTCATTTTACTGGCGAAAATCTGAATGATTGTCTAGATCAATGGAGGGGCAATCGTTCTATTTTTGGGATCGTACCCATCGTCGGGATTTAACAAACTAGCAATTGATGGATATTCCATACCATTTTAATACCAGCAACAAATAATATAATCAGGACATGGGCATATAGCCATAATGTGGTAGAACCAACCATAGACCGTCGGAATGACTTACCACATAGAATATGTCCAATTGGGTCATGGGGGAACAGAAATTTGACGATACTTCTTAGAAAGAAAAAAGCGCAACATGGTTGGTCTCTCTCAAAAGAGGTGCCATCAAAGCCCTATGTGCCGGGCTGTCAGCCTTTTTCAGCGAGAGTGCAGGGACATCAGCTGCGCAGGTTCTGCGGCCACGTTAACAGAAATCGATTGAAGTCCTTCCAATTGACTTGCCTTTTGAGTTGTGGCTGTTTCCCCTGAAATCGGCTTGCTGGGAATCACATGATGACCATATCCAACCTGGAGCTCTAGGTTTCTACGTTGAATGCACCGTTGGCCAAAGGAGACCGCTGCCAGGCTCATGGGATTTGTGGCCGCAAGCACTCCCACCACTGAGCATAGTGTTTCCTCGGCAAAAAAAAAAACGGGGTGGGGGCCGGCGGGGCACGGAGTTTGTTGGTACTCTGGATCCTCACTTTGCTTCGTTGCAAGCGCGCTTTGCTTATATAGAAGTGATTTTAAGTGCTTGTAAAATCTTGTAAATGTCAGGATCCAAGTTTTTCTCAATTTTCGAAACTTCTGTCATACTTAAAATGAACCGAAATTTTACCAGCAAGCGCCTTCCCACAGCAAAATGTGGTGCGGCACCTCAACGTCCCGATGCCAACGCCTTTCCAAAAGGCCCGATTCGTTTTTGTACATCATAAAACTATGTACGCCATACCATCCATACCCTGGAAAAACATGTTTTTTTTTTAAGTGTGGCTAGCCACAAAGCCATAATGGCCCCCATCTGCCGACATCGTCTGCAAGTCTCCGTGCAGTTTCCACCGTTGAAACATGGCACACGGCCGCCGGCTGAGCGTCTCGCTCGTCCACGACGTTGAAGCCTGCAAGACTCAGCGCTAGGCAGGGAAATCACCGAAGCGGCAGCCATGGAGGTTTCTGGGAGAATCATCGAACAAAATGGTAAATAAATTAATGGTACAATTGTAGCCACCATCGTGGAGCAAGTTGGGCTGTCATATTGTCATATCGTTCGTAGATCTACAGTTGGGTTTCAAACCAACTTCCACATCCAGTGGGTCACTTTGTATGCCTATGGTTCAAAATGTCAGGCCCAAAATTTCACAATCGGCGAATTCTCGGGTTGTCGGCCCATATCCATTGCAGCAACTTTGATCCAACCAAAAATTGCCCGGTAGATCCTGGAAAAACTCGACACAAGCCACATGCAGCAAGCCCCAAGGGACCCAAGGGCATCATGCCTAGTAGTTGGCTTCCCTCAGGCTCGTCATCTCCCAACAAGGCTTGGGCACATGCCGCCATGGATTCACCTCAGGCGACCACAGTATGATTCATGGGAATTACGGTGAATTATAAAGGAATTGTAATGGATTATACAGGATTAATATGGATTCGACCGGATTATACCAGATTTTTAGTGCTATGGATGATCATATCCATCCATTGACCAGCGATGTTGCCAAAGAACTGTTGCTTTCGACATTGTAGCCACCTTCCTGAGCAAGCACTACCTTGCCGTCAGCCAATCCTGACTGGTGGTGCTTCAGGCGCTTGCAGCAGGAAAGCACGGAAAGCAAAAAGTTTCTGTCTGGTGATGGAGGGCAATCAGTCAAACACAATTTTGATTGCATTTCAGCAGACTATATATATATATATACATATGATGTGTTGATCCTTTCCAAGAATTTCTGAACACCAGAAAATGTGCACAGGTACACAATATAAATACGTAAACAGGTTCATACTATATCTCATGGTAAGTGGCTATTCCTCTTGTTGTTCTTTAATAGTCCCGAACAGACCAGTATTATAACCCTGTGTATTATACATACATATAAACAGTATATATCCCCATCAATAGTTGGATTTTTAATGGCAAAAAGACCGGCCATGTAGTGACAGTAAGTGTATCAAAAGCACGGCCGAAACCCCGTGGTTGGGATCATCCCGACGGAAAATTCTCTCCGGTTTTTGTCGTTAAAGCCATGTCATAAACCACCCCTAGTTCATTAGAACGGTTTATACGTGTCTTACCAGCCATTTATGGTAAATGTGGGGATGTATTTTGACTATTGTTTTACTAACCGTCCGCATTGAACTTGTTCAAGCACCGTCAGACCGCACAAGAGTCCCATCAGCTGCTTCGTGATCCGATAGAATCCACTTGGCGACACGCGGCAACCACCTGGGACTGACCGTTTTATGGACAAACAAAGCCACACGGAAAGAATCTCCCTCGAAGCATGTTCATCTTGGTAGTTCAAGTAGGTAGCTTATATAGTAATTCTAGCAGCATTCCATCTACAAATAGAGCTATTTACAACCAGTCCAGCCAAAAGATCTACCAGATTTGGGCGGCCACCTAGGGGATCACCAGGGGCTGCGTCAAAGCCAGCGCTCACCAGAACGAGATCCGGAGAAAATTCCCTGGCGATCCTTGGTGGCAGCAACCTCCAGAGATAGAAAAGTGTGTCCAGAATGGTATAGATGATGTTTTGCCCATATTTTCCAGGTTTCCAAAGTGTATTTGTGCGGGCTTGCTACAATGGTAAATCATGGTTCCATCTTGTTGGGGGGGTGTATGAGATGTATGTCCCAGAGCACCAAATATCAGATCAATGTTGTACTTAGTACATTGCACGTAATAAAATTGAAAACCGAGGGAAACAGGAACTGACAAAAATGATGAACACTACCCAAAATGGGAACCAGCGAAAATTGGAACTGACTAAAATGGGAAACACAACCAAGAAAAACATGAAGCAGCAGGGCAAAAGAAATCACTCAAAAAGTGGAAAATACCTCCTAACAAAATGGATGCCGGCAAAAACAGGAACTGACAAGAATATGAAACACCACTTGAAGGAACCAGCAAAAACAGTAAGTGACAAAAATGAGAAACCCCACCAAACAAAATGGGAACCAGCAAAAACTATCATATATGTGCCCTGATAATACCTGGTACAGTAAATGAGGTTAAATCCAAAACGTGTAAGTTTGGGAGTATATTTTTACCAATAGTTCCAACGTCTTCGGCAAAAAATCGCGGCCTCCCCATGACCTGTTCACCGGTGTTCGCTGAGGAGCGGGAGAAAGACCCGATCAAAGGCGTACAGCATCTCTGCATCACCTGGGGGACTCCTCTCGTTGCCCGCCACCTCCCACGGGATGTTCACGGTATATCCTTCGCCTGGGAAATGGCTGGGAAACAAAAAACAAACACGACGGTTTGATGGAAAATTTCGCCGATTTTGAAGGAAAAGTGGAGCAGTGTGAATTTCCTTTCAAAGTGTTTTGTTTCTTGACAATCTGAAGCAGTTGACCACTTCAAAATCAGCGAAACCCCCACGTGGCGTCCTGCGTCGACTCCATGACTGGTGTAATTTCCGAGCTGACCACCCGGGTAGTACTTCCCGCGGTCATATCGATGAACGGAGCAGAACAGCACCTGGTCAGATATGAGCAGATATGGTATCTAGGGTTTCACAATCCTAAATATCTAACGGGATAACATGATGGGAACCATCATTTCTACTGGATTAGATCTAGCTGGAATATCAAACAATCATATTCTTACATCGGTTTGCCAAATAGTTGAATCAGAGGTGAGGACTCTACTCAGACACCGATCCAAAACTGGAAGATAAGAACTGCCCAGCCACGCTGCTGTCATCTTCGAACATCTTTTGAGTGCCATTGCCGTGATGAACATCGAAATCAACAATCAAGATTTTGGACGCCAAACCTCTGCGGTCAGTCAGAACCAAAACTGGTGGTTTTCCATTTGGTCACACACACGCGCACACACACACACACTGATGATTGAGTAAGTAAATAACTTACTCCGTAATAGGAAATTTAAAAGGATGATGTTGTCGTCGCCTTAAGGGTTCTTAAGTTGGTGCCCATCGGACAATTTTAGAATTAGTTCGAAACATTCAAATGTAGTTACATGCTCCGGTTCTTGGCTTAGCCGGTCGCCAGGTTCGACAAATTGAAATGCTGCAAAAACTGGAATTGAAGTGGCAGGTACGTGACAAAAGCGTCCCTTCGTCATATCACCATGGAAAGGCAGTGTCTTCGTTGGTGGGTTACTGCCAGACCATGTGTCCACCCCTGCTTGTTGACTACACGAATTGGATTTTTTTCCCCGCATGACACCTAGCGGGGTTCACACACACACAAAAAAAAAAACGAAGGGCAAACTGGCACCTTTTTATTACCTCACCTGACACTGGTTCGAGATCTACTTGGGATAAGCACTCAACTATCATAGCAGACTGCAGTTGCTCAAAATGCATCCTGGAACTATTGGTAGAGAAGTGTGCAGTCGAAGCGTTCTTGTCACGAAAATCATCATACATCATAAGGGTACCGGCGATTGCAGACTGAGAAGAGTCCAAACTGCCGGCCCGAACCATGTCAGGCGATCGATCAACATCAATGAAATTCGTCCTGGGGTCCACTCACACACAAGCCGGGGGAGGGGAGACAACGGGAAAAAAAAGGAGAAAACAACAACAAAGGCAGAAAACAGGCAGGGGAGCACACAACACGCGCAGGCAGAACAAAGGAAGGAAAACGGGAGGGGGGGGAAGAAAGCACACAGGAACCCCAAACCCTGGCATGCAGAAGAGCAATCAGCCCAAAGCAAAACAGGCAACAAAGCAAAACGACAGCAGTGAGAAAACTGAAGCAGGACAGCACAGGGGAGGAACAAACACATTCCTAAGGTCTGGGCACGGGAGAGGGGTCGAGTGGGTGGGAAAAAGGGCGGGAAGGAAGCCGAAGTTCAAAATCAAGCTGCTTTTCATGATAGATTCCTGGCCGTATGGCCTGTTTCTGGTTCTGTCTTGTGCCTGGAGCTACATTCCCACGGGCACCAAGTCCCGTCAAGCTTCAGGGCATTGCAGTACCCCACTCTACACCGGAATGGCCGGCTCCGAGTCAATACACGCCACAGAGCATACAGACGGCACTCACAAGTCATTGGGACTGCGCCCGACACACACTGATGATTGAGTAAGTAAATAACTTACTCCGTAATAGGAAATTTAAAAGGGTGATGTTGAGGTCGCCTTAAGGGTTCTTAAGTTGGTGCCCATCGGACAATTTGAGAATTAGTTCGAAATATTCAAATGTAGTCACATGCTCCGGTTCTTGGCTTAGCCGGTCGCCAGGTTCGACAAATTGAAATGCTGCAAAAACTGGAATTGAAATGGCAGGTACGTGACAAAGGCGTCCCTTTGTCATATCACCATGGAAAGGCAGTGTCTTCGTTGGTGGATGACTGCCAGACCATGCATCCACCCCCTGCTTTTTGACTACACGAATTTGAAAATTCTTACCTGCATGACACCTAGTGGGATTCACACAGACACACACATGTCAACATCTTAGAATTTCTGCTACCAAATTTATCTCCGATCTTAGATTTCGGAGCAATGCATGGGAAAGGCTCCAGGGGTGCCGTGTGGACCCTCGCCACACAAAAATAAAATGCTGCGACAATACTACAAAAGCACAAATGGACATGACATAATGAACATTTCAACCACATTTCATGTGGTGAACCCAATGTAAACGTCTCCAGTGTCGGAAATATGTAGATGGCTGGTATGCACCATCCCCAAAAAAGACCAACATCTGTTGCTTACACGAGCACGAATCAAATATCATGTTATGGCAAACCCCTAAAAATACAAATGTGAAATCTTACTAAAGTAAATGTACTTTCTGGTCATCAAGCCTGGCAATGGAAAATCCCCCATGCAGTTCGAAGCAATTTTCCCATTAAACACCTTCATTGAGTTCGAGCCATGTTTGATTACCCATTGCCAGATTATCATCCGGTCACATACTCAGTCTACCTCCATTACATCCCCCCATTTTAGATGGCTAATGTTACGGTGTTAGCCATAAGCAATAGTAAACGATCCTCAAATTCATAAATGGGTGTTGTAAACATTGTAAACCATCAAAATATGGGTGGTACTTTTATGCTGGTGCTATAGTACCCATCAAATATGGGTGTCATAAAGTAACATTTATAAATGGGTGTTGCAATGTCATTGTTGTACTTTTATAACATGACATCCAGCACGACCACAACCTCAAACCTCTGGCGCCACCCTCGCCACACCTCGTTGCTTCGCCATAGCTGCAGCCAGTGCCACGTTGCCAAAAAGGCAAAAACCTCGAGGAATCGATTCCTCTGCATGGTGACCTGGGAGGACTGCAGATCGGTCCTCTGTTTAAGTTGGATATCTGTATGTTCTTATTATGAAATATATTTCATAGGTCATTTAAAAGTAGATTACATGAGGTGAAGGGCAACAGCAACCCAAATCCGAACCAGGGGGAAAGCTTAATTTACACACAATAAACTGCAATTGTGCAATCCAAGATTGTGCTGGTTTCATGATCTTGCTAGTGGATCAGGCAGAATCTGATGAGCTGCGCTGAAATGTACTTGATAAGAGCTGTCGAAAAGAAGAACAGCGATGTCATCCGGTACAAAAATGCAAGCAACAGATTGCACCAGCCGATTTTGCTTTGTGCTTGTTGAGTGCCCATCCATTTGGGTCTGCCGCAACAAGGTGGTATACTGCCAAAATCTACCAGTGGCAACATGATGGTAAACCAGTGGCTAATTTGCATTCGCGCGCTGATAAACCAATTAACAGATTCCTGTGATACTCAACCCCTGGATTCACTGGGTCTTGGATGATCATCATGAAATGGATTGTGATCATCATGACATTTAATCATTAATATAGTTGATCTGGAGGTTTCCTAAAATGGTGGTATCCCCAAATCACCCATCTTATTTTAAGATGTTCCCGTATAAACCAACCATTTTGGGAGACCCCCATTTCAGGAAACCCCCAGGTGTACCCCAGGCGCCTGGTGGTCTCACCACGCAACAGGCACTTTGCACTTCTCCGCTGCACACCCGCTCGGTGGCTTCCAACACGCAGCCCGCAGACAGAAGGGCGGCCTTTTTGGGGGACCAGGGTTTAATATGGATTGTTTTAAGGTCAGCTCTAGCGGAAACCACCGGTTGTTACAGGTTTCACCTTCCAAACACAGGTGTGTGTGTATATATATATACATATATATATATATACATATATATATATATATACATATATATATATATACATATATATATATATACATATATATATATAGAGAGA